CCCCCCCATCTCTTCAAGTCTCATGTAAAACAGATCCCCACTCTCTACCTTCCACCATTTCCAGAGAACACACAGGTCTGAGCAGCCACCAGACATTAGTCAGGAAATTAAAACTGTGCCAGTCAGAAGACAGCTATTAAAAGGCAATGTTCACACTGCATGGAAAAGCAGCCTCTACTTGGGTCCTAAAAGCTACACAACCAAAGTTTTCAACTTACTCCACCTGCAGTAGGAAAGTGAAACCAGTACAAGTTTTACACACCACCCAAGGAAGCTAATAAAAAAAAAAAAGGCAAGCAGAAAAAGCAACCTGTAGGCAGCAGGTGTATTGTAACTACTCCAAATTCAGGACCAATAGGACACCAAATTATGTTCTGGTCACAACTGTAGATATGCCTTAAAACTTTTAAGTACAGGACTTAAACATTATTTAAATTGAATAATCTAATCTGTAGGCTGCTTTCACAGATGCCCATCACCATAATTCTTGGCTACTGCTCCGGTAGGAGAGGAACAGGAATTTATTTTCTCCCTTGGCGTGTGCAGTGAATTAAGGGCTATTTTAAAAGTGACTGAACTCAGCAGATGTGGAATGTGTTGATGCTTGGAATGTGTTTGATTAAAAGCATATAGAGATTCTGGGTTTGCTGCAAATACCACATCCTTATTTTTATGTCTGACACCCTTATGTCACCCTTATTTTTATGCCTTAACAGCCTCACATGCGAGGCTCAAGGAAAGCTTAATCTTCCCCAGATTTCTACAGTCAAGCAACAGCTTCACTGCTCCAGTGGAGTGAAGCAGTCACAGGGTGATATAAGTGGTCTGGGATCTCTATTTGCCAAGATCAGTTCCAAACAGAGGTCTGCAGAAACAAAACCAAGTTCTAAATTAGGGCAGACAACAGAGCAGTGCTTAAAAAGGAAACAAGAAATCAGAGAGAACCTTCCACTTCCTAGAAGCAAGTGGGTTTCTGAAGCCCCTTCTTTGTGGCACACATCTAATGTGGTCTGACTCAGCACCTACTCCATACCTTTCCAGCACAGCTGTCACTGCAGTTCTCTAACAGGTACTTACACCTAAGCAATCCCACTGGAGAAGAGAGGAAGAGATTTGCCTTGAACTGTGCATCGAGATCCACTTTATACAAGTTTCAGACTCACACTTTAGCACCTCAATCAACATTTGCATCAGTGCTTCTGTTACCACCAGCCACCTACGCTGTAGCCCTGCATCCTCTACAGCTTTCAAGTGGATACAATTTGTACCAAACACGTAATAAACTGTACAGCTGCAAACTATATAATATTCTCATCATTAAGTGTCACTTGTTTTCATATCTTAATTTGCATGCAACAGCCTGGAATGAACCTTTGGTAGCATGAAGGAATCTCAATCAAACAGGAACAATTTCGTTTAGCTAATCAACTCTATTGTCCCATCAAGCAAAAAGCTGAGCTACACGTACTGGTTTGGAGGGGAATCACCAGTAGCACAGGTTAGACCTTGAGATCCTGAAGAACCAGTACACAGAGGCTTTTTGTTCATGAGGCTGTGCAGAGAGTAGAAGACGTGATCCTGCAGCAAGCAACTGCTACCTCAACAATTTTTCTTTTACTTACAGATGATTCACCAGCAAGGCTGGAGTCAACAAACGTAAGTGGCAATGGGTGTAATTGTTTGAGACAGAAGAATGAATTTCAAATATAGAAGTATAAAAGACAGATGGAATTTCTTAAGATTCATGGATGTGGGGGTTAGGAATAATGAGAAATCTGTGGGGAAGGTCTTTAGTGGATATAGCTATATTTAAGTTTCAGAGGACGTTTTGACCCAAGGTATGAAGTATTTTACATAATGATAGATTGTGGCAGTAATCTGGTGGATGGATGGGGAGAGTTGCTGACACTGGGGGAGAATTCCAACATACCACAGGAGTAGCATGTATGGAAGAACAAATACACAGGTGAAATGGAGTTTTAGGTATTGCTGACTTTCTTTTAAGCAGTTATCTCACACTGAACTATATTCTTTATTTCAAAGCTAAGAAACATTTGCCTGTAGCAGGCTGTCCTGAATGTCCCATCCCTTCTCCTGGGCTCTTATGATTACATCTTTATTTAAACATCTGTTTACCAAGATGTTCCACCTCCCTCTGTTGTTCTTTGTGAACTCAGCCGCAGCGTCAGGAACAAAAAAAACTCATCAGTACAAAAAGTGCTGATTAATGCACAAAACAGCAATGGAAAAAAAAAGTTATGCATCTGTTTAATTCTGTCTAAATTATAGTTGAAGCAAAGGACTGCTATATTAAAAAAATAATCACAGAAGTACAGAAAGGTTTTGTAAAGACAAACACTTCCTTTAACCTCCAATGACTCCAGAATTGCTCTGCAAGCAAAAGTCAAAACAAACTTTACACAACCCAACTTACCTCAATTTGAAAGAGCTCCCCAGCACCTTCACAGTCATTTGATGTAATTATGGGGGTATGAATATGCACGTAGCCATTATCCTGGAACAGACAGAACACTGAAGTTAACTAAAGATATCAAACATTAACTTCAAGGATGACAAAAACCAGCACACATCATAACTAAGCCCCAAACGAGGACAGTGTACGTTGTCTTCTAGGCAACTTCTACCTTACAGAGGGCTAACTAAACACCAGCATGATTTACAAATAAGTTTACTACTTGTGCTTTTTCCTCCATGATTCATTAAAAAATCAACAAGGCCAAGTGTAAAGTACTCCATTTGGGGAAGAACAACCCCATGTACCAGTACAAGTTAGGGGGCGACCTGCTGGAAAGCAGCTCTGGGGAAAAAGACCTCGGAGTCACGGTGGACAACAGACTCATCATGAGCCAACAACATGCCCTCACAGACAAGGGGGCCAATGCCACCCTGGGGGGCATTAAGAAGAGTGTGTCCAACAGGTCGAGAGAGGTTCTCCTTCCTCTCTACTCTGCCCTGGTGAGGCCTCACCTGAAGCACTGTGTGCAGTTCTGCGCTCCCCAGTTCAAGAAGAAAAAGGACCTAATGGAGAGAGTCCAGCACAGGCCACTAGAATCATAGAATTATTAAGGTTGGAAGGGACCTTAAAGATCAGCCAGTTCCAACCCCCCTGCCATAAGCAGGGAACCCCACCACTAGAGCAGACTGCACAAAACCTCGTCCAACCTGGCCTTAAAAACCTCCAGGGATGGGGCATCAACAACTTCCCTGGGCAACCCATTCCAGTTCCTCACCACCCTCACAGTGAAGAATTTCTTCCTAGTATCTAACCTAAATCTCCCCTCTCTCAGTTTAAAACTATCACCCCTTATCCTATCACTATCTTCTCTGATGAAAAGCCCTTCCCCAGCTTTCGTGGAGCCCCTTCAGGCACTGGAAGGTGCTCTAGGGTCTCACCAGAGTGTTCTCTTCTCCAGGCTGAACAGCCCCAACTGTCTCAGCCTGTCATAGCAGAGCTGCTCCAGCCTTTGATCATCTTTGTGGCCCTTCTCTGGACCGTTTCCAACAGGTCTATATATTTCTTGTGCTGAGGGCACCAGAACTGTACACAGTATTCCAGGTGGGGTCTCACCAAAGCAGAGGGGCAGAATCCCCACCCTGGCCCTGCTGGCCACACTTCTTTGGATGCAGCCTAGGATGCAGTTGCTCTCTAGGCTCCAGCACTCACTGGTAATTCATTTTCCCAGTCCCTGCTTCCACCTTCTGTGGCCTTTGTGTTGAGGTTGGAGCGCTTGCCAGAGAAGACTGAACCAACGAAGTCACTGAGGACCCCAGCCTTCTCAATATCCTGTGTTGCTAACTCACCTGTTCCCCTCAAGAGAGGGCCTACACTCCCCTTGGATGTCCTTTTCTTCCCAGCATAGCTAAAGAAGCTTCTCTTATTGTTCTTAACATCCCTGGCAATACTTAATTCTAGCAGGGATTTGGCTCTCCTCATCTGATCCCTGGCTGCTCAGACAACCTCTCTGTTATCCTCCCAGGATACCTGCCCTAGCTTCCACCCCCTCTATGCTTCCTTCTCCAGTTTAAGCTTTTCTAGGAGCTGCTTACTCCTCCATGCCAGTCTCCTGGGAGTTTCTACTTGACTTCCTCTTAGTTGGGATGCTCTTGGGCCTAGAAAAGGTGATCCTTAAATATTAGCCAGCTTTCATGGGCCCATCTACCCTCCAGGATGTTATCCCAAGACACGCTCTGGAGCAGATTCCTGAAGAAGCTAAAATCTGCCTAAGATGATTAAAAGCCTGGAGTATCTACCATATGAGGAAAGGATGAGAATCGGGGCTGTTCAGCTGAGAGAAAGGAGACTTGAGGGGGGGATCTCATCAATGCTTATAAATATCTACAGGGGTGTCAGGAGCATGGGGGGCCAGACTCTTCTCAGTGGTGCCCAGTGACAGGACAAGGGGCAAAGGGCACAAACTGGTGCACAGGAGGTTTAGCCTGAATATGAGAAAATATTTCTTGACTCTTAAGAGTAGCAGAGCCCTGGAATGGGCTGCTCAGGGAGGTTGTGGAGTCTCCATCCCTGGAGACATTCCAAAACACCCTGGTCAGGAGCATGGGGGGCCAGACTCTTCTCAGTGGTGCCCAGTGACAGGACAAGGGGCAAAGGGCACAAACTGGTGCACAGGAGGTTTAGCCTGAATATGAGAAAATATTTCTTGACTCTTAAGAGTAGCAGAGCCCTGGAATGGGCTGCTCAGGGAGGTTGTGGAGTCTCCATCCCTGGAGACATTCCAAAACACCCTGGATGTGTTCCTGTGGGATCTGCTCTAGGGAATCCTGCTCTTGCAGGGTGTTGGACTAGATGATTTCCAGAGGTCCCCTCCAACCCCAACTATTCTGTGTGATTCTGTGAAATTAGATTTTTATCATTACTACAGTTTTTACAACTGCCCATTTCCACACCATTCCCCTTTCTTCTCACCTCCTCTGGTATTTTTTTTTTTTTTTATGGGCAGTTGCAATCAAATTCACCCCTACAGTCTCAACACTTCAGCTTCTTCCAGCTTTTTGGAAGCTGAAGATTGGGCAGAGAATTTTTTCTTAGTGCCAACCACTAAGAGAAATGATCAAGTATGTTAGATGAGAGAAATCACAGGCTGCATGGGAGAGAAGAGGCCTTAAAAATATCCAGCCACTAAGAAAATGTCAGTCCTGCCTCACATCTTCTGATATAGGCAAGTCAAATTGATTTTTTTTAAGAGATACTATATACCCTGGCTTGATCATGTTCTGTCTTCCTGGAGAACTACCCATTCATGTAACAGAGCCCCTGTAAATCGGGGTGTGCCAACATTACCATGACACAGGCAATGACACAGCACCACCCGTTATTTACACAAAACACTAATAAAAAAAATAAAAAGTAGATGTTTCTAAAAGCTTAACCTCACAGATTTTATCAGAAAAATAAAAATCAACCTTTCATATTACAGTTCTAAGTCCTTAACAGCTAGTAAAAAGGCTAAGAAGACAGGAGCAGTATTTACAGCCCATCCTGAGAGTGAAACTAAAATTAATTTGGACCAAAGAGCTATTTGGACATTAATGTATTTTGTGGAAGTTCTCTAACATGACCAAGAGGGAGCAAAGTCCCAGCAGCCAGCTCTAGGCTACCTTGGTAACAGGTGCAAAGACCATGGCTTACCAGGTGCCCAACTCCCCACTGAGGTCCAGTTACTGCACAGATGTTTTGGAGCCAGAACCACTTGCATTGCCCAGGGAAGGCAGTTTTAGTCTAACAAAGCAAAACACAGGTTGCTGTCACAATCTCATCCATACTTCATAGACCTGCTGGTCTCCAAACCCTACATGACACTTTGGAGTATTTCCCAAATTACAGCAACCATTATCACTATATAAAGAAAGAGGAATGTTTCATACAAAAGATTCCTTTTGTGCTATGGAAAGGAATGTGAACTTCACAGGTCTCTGAAAACTAGATGAGGATCCCACAAAAATCTCTTACATAGCTTCCTTTATTAAAGCTCCTAAAATACTTCAAGTCACATTACTGGCTTTGACAAACTTGGAAGTTAGTTAATGTGGAAAGCTGAGGTTGCCATTCACATAACAACCATTTCACTGTGCCTTGGAACAATGCTACTATACCATGTGGACCACAACACTCAGAAGATTTAAAGATGACATTTTCAGCCTCCAACATCCAAATCAAAGTCATTTGGCATTAATCATTCTCTGCTGGAAATCAACAGGCTAAAAAAAAAAATTAATCTTTAGTTACTGTTAATCTAGATAATTTCAAGTGTGTATTCAGAAATCCTCACTTGTTTTCTTTCACCAAAAAGCTGTCATAGCTTTGCACAATGAAAATATTCTGATCTTACTTTCTAGTTATCATAAGCTCTAACACTGTCAACCTGGAAATTGCAAAATTCTTGGGATGATGTGGGTGGAAATTTAAAAATACTGTCCTTCCATCAGAAATGGAAGAAAGCACAGATGTTCCTGGTGCTAGGAGATTGTGACACAAGTATCTGCAATATCAGGCTTGGGACCTAATCTTCCTTATTCCTTTTAAGAAAAAAAAGTGCACCCACTGCTGCTGAACTAATGATACTTTATATTTTCTTAATGCTGCTCAGCTCTTGAGCATTTTAAACAAGAAGATATATCAGAGTCTTAAATTGCAATTCATTTGGACACGTAAAGCCTTTGTCAGAGGAAGATGCTTTTTTGTATCTCAGCTGGCTTCCTTGTGCAAGTCTGAAATCACAAATGGTTGCAGACCATGCCATCTAGTGGCACGACACCAGCAGAACAATCCCCAGCAGAGCTGAGCTGTCTCGGGAACTGGCACAATGCTAAGTATTCCTATTAGGCTTCTAAAAAAATAATCTTCTAAATGCCATGCAATTCCATACAGGTAACTGTTACCAAGAGCAAGCTGGCTTTGCCATCGCAAGCAATACATACCACTATAATCAGGACCAGTAAATCAATCTCAACAATTCTGACCTGTTCTCTGGGCCACAGTAATCACTGCATACTCATTTTGTAATCAGAATGCTCTGAATATGAGTTCTATGCAAACTAAAGCCAGTTTATCTACACTAAAACACTTTTATTTCAATGAACAGCTTTAAAAAGGGCTCAGGAGCACTAGAGGACTTACTACCTTCCTTTATCCACCCATGCAAAGAATTGCATGGGCTCTCTAGGCAATCTGGAATCAGAATTAACTCACTGCCCCCAACACCAGCAGAAAACCTGTACCAGGCCCAGAGCTCAGTGACACACTCATAACATACAGGTTCCTCCCACCTACCAGCTTGAAATGCAACAAAACAGGAGTCTCCTAATCTCAGCTAACAGCATCCACAGACTTGTAAAGCAGTAATAGAAAGGTAAGAACGGAGAAGAACAATATGAAGCTTGGAGTCAGTTTGTCAGAAGCCTTCCTGCATCACGGACTTTTCCACGTGGGAGGAGGCTTCTGTCCAAGGACCATAAGGTCACAGCTGACGGGGGGTTAAACCACTCTGTATTATGTCATGTTCCACAGACCACACACACTCACAGGCAATTATATTGCAACTTAGTGAAAGGGATAAAATAACCAACATGAAATGGGTGGAAAGATGCTAAGAAAACCACAGGCAGGCTAACCTGATCATAAGCAACAGTCAGGCCAAGGCCTCAGCCAGGCCCAAGCCTGGAAAGCAAACCACTACGTCCAAAATCCATACCCTGCAGTCAACACATCACACTCCCTCCCTCCTAAGGTGCTCTGCTGAAGCTAAACTGGGGGAATGTTTTACACAGAAGGCTCGGTACAGACGGGACTACCTGGAAGAAAGAGTGGATGGCAGCAGTGGCCTCGCTGCGGATTCTCAAGAGGGAGCCCAGGGTGTTGTTTCTGCACCGCAGGTGAGGGAACTGTCGGACATATTCCAGTGGGTGCCTCTCCTTCATCTTCAGGGGAAACAACTGAGAACAAGGAAAAGAGACCAAGAGGATGAGAAAATGGAGTCAACACAGTTTTATTGCTATCCATGGAAATACTATCTTTGCCCACTAAAAGTAAAGCATTACTGAGCAGAGAAGAACTAGATGCTTTTGCTTGTATTTTCTACTTCTTTTGTGGATTTTATACTGCTTGCAGCAGAGCAAGAGCCACGAGCACAAGACAAGGTAGTAGCACTACTCCACCTTCTGGATGTTGAGCCCGCTTTGAAGCCAGCTGTTCATCTCACTGCTGCACAATGAGCCAATTCCAAACGTGCCTGTGGCAGAGGAGGTTCTCCCACCTACACAACGTGGAGTGTTTAGCCAGTCCCACTGCTTCTTCAACTCCTATCCCTATCCCAGCCACACTTCCCAGGTAAACCACCAAATACAAGTACCTGCTGCAGGGTTCCTCAAACACAGACTTAGCTGCCAGCACACGTACCAGTTTCCACACAGAAACAGCTCTGCCCCCAAAGAGAGCTTTCATGGTGATTCCATGTTTCTCATTTGTCACACCCTGTAGACACTGCTGACAAACCAGAGCCTGCAGGAGCTCAAGACTTTTTGTCCCCTCCCTGGAGGTGTTCCAGGCCAGGTTGAACAGTGCTTTGTGAAACCTGGTCTAGTGGAAAGTGTCCCTGCCCTTGCAGAGGGGTTGGAAACAGATAATCTTTAAGCTCCCTTCCAACCTTGATCATTCAATGATTCTATGACTTCAAGAACATACAGTTTGAACCTTGCTTCGCTGGACACTTAGACCTCTCAAAATTAACTTCTGAAGCAGTCCCCCATCAGTTGAACTTCTGCTGCAGTGACATACCACGGCATCACAGGGTCCCACTACATGGATGGTTTCAGCTTTCAGCTCCATGTTTTGCATCTTGTGAGGACTTTTGACCAGTTTCCCTTGCACTTCCACCGCGCTTCCGAAAGTCAGGTCTCTACGAAAACAAGAAAAAAGAACTAACTCAGTGCTTGTAGCAATTCAACTACATTCAGAAGAGAGATTCCTGTGAATGTAGGTGGACCACTGGAGGTCACAAGGTACACTCCAGCCACAGGCCTTCACTGATGAAATGAACAATTATTAAATGGGTAGTAGAGAATGTGAATGGATTTACAAAGCTATAGAATAAGTTAGGACAAAGCAGGAGTGTTAGACAAACAAGGAGAAAAGAGACAGGTTTTTACTGGAAGTGGCTACTGGTAGGGACAAAGCAGGCTTACAGAAAAAAAAATTACAACAAAAATTTAAAAACCCAACAGGTTACATGCAGAAGGTTCCTGGATCATCTCCAAACGCTCAACTCTAGCACAAAGAACAACTGAGAGTATCAAAAAAAGCTGTAACCCAAGTGCATTATTACCTTGTTATAATACAAAATGCATTACTATCTAGGGGGTATGAATAACAAGCAAGTGGTTACAGGAATAGCAACAGCACTCCCCAAAAAACCTAGGCAAGTCATTCCTGGCTATGTTGTGTGCACCTCCAATACTGTGTCAAGTTTTGAGTCCCCCACTCCAGGAAGGTCATTAGGGGCTGGAGAGTGTCCAGAGAAGGGCAGTGAAGCTGGTGAAGGGTCTGGAGCACAAATCTTATGAGGAGCATCTGAGAGAAGTGGGAACTTAGGGTATTCAGGCTGGAGAAAAGAAGGTGGAGGTGAGACCTTCTTACTCTGAACAACTGCCTGAAGGTAGGCTGGAGTGAGGGGGGAGTTGGTCTCTTTTCCCAAGTAACATGCAATTGAACATGAAGAAATGGTCTCAAGTTCTGCCTGGGGAGGTTTGGATTGGATATTAGGAAACATTCCTTCACCAAGAGGGTTGTCAAGCATTGGAATAGGCTGCCCAGGGAAGTGGCAAAGTCACCACGCATGGAGGTATTTAAAAGACATGTAGATGTGGTGCTGAGGGACCTGGTTTAGTGGTGGACTTGGCAGTGCTGGGTTAACGGTTGGACTAGATGATCCAAAAGGTTTTTTCCAACCTAATCAATTCTGTGCTTTCCAAGCTGCAGTCCAGAATGCCAAGACTGCTACAGCTCTTAAGAAAATCAGGTTCACATTAATCTCATTTGACAAGTAACTGAACCACAAGGCCTCAGCTAAGTGGAGACAGTTGTCAGGTACCCTCCATCCTAAAATACACCTCCAGAGACTCTAGACTGCAGCAGAAGCTTTCCTGGCCAGGTGCCAGCCATAGGAGTCTCCTCCAGCAGTCAGAGGAGCCACTGGGACAGGAAAGGAGGCCTGAGCAGACTCCTCCAAGCACCGATCAACACAGGTATTTCTCCAGGTATCTCAAACTGACCAACCTATTTTCCAGGCTGGGATCAGCAACCACTTGGAGGTTTTCCAGAGAACTCCCATCGTTTATATGCAGGAACAAAACTTCCTTCTGGGATCGGACAGAACGGACCCAGCCCTAGAGGGAAATGAAAAACACAGTTATTATTTCTTGGCATGGACTCTGTAGTTATGTTCTTCCTCCATAGCTGAGCTGAACATGCTACTTCAGGTCTATTTCAGCTTATTCTTTAAGTCAAAGAAAATTCATTACAGACAACAAAAATAAAAAATAATAGCTAAAAAAAAAAATCAGTCCATTTTTCTATTTACTGCAAAGCAAAGAGGAAAAAATCCTTAGGCAGAGACATCAACTATCCTCTTGTGAGCAGAGGGACAACTAAAATCTCTGGAATGCAGAAGACAGCAGAGCACTCTGAAGATGAAAGGCATTTTAGCAAAGTACATATTATTAGTGATGCCCCTTCTAGACAGTTCTTACTGCATCAGGAGAGACCAGTAATGCACAGTTCTTTATTTTAACATGCTGCTTTGATGATTTTTAGTACCATTTATTGTTGCTGTAGGAATTGTTGCGTTTATTGTTGCTGTATTGTCACCTGTAGGAACTGAAACTTACAGCTTCAGTGGCAACTGAAATTTGTTCACTAGTTATTTACATGCCCCAAACCATTGGATTGCTAAACAATGCTGCTGTGGCCAATAGATTCAAGTGCAAAATTACATATTCATACAAATTAAAAACCAAAATTACAGCCCTGAAAATTTCAGATATTTCTCCTACTGCTACACTGTCCCTACAGAAAAATACTAATATATATATTATGAATATTTAAAAAAAAAATAATCTAGAAGTCCAGCTTGTCTAAAGTTTGACTTCTCCAGTTTAACTAAAAGAATTAAAACAGTAACACAGAAATTCTTTGTAACAGCAAAGTAGTAGAACTGACTGTATGTGTCAGGTTAATGTCCTTATTTGAGTTCTTCAATGGAAAACAACATTTTCCTTAAAAAGAAATTAAAAATACAAGTCAGTAGCAAGTCACTGAGCAAAAGTGATAACATCCAAAACCTAACTCCCTTAGTTGCTCCCCAGCCCACAAAAGCTGAGAAAAAGCTGCCCATAAAAGCAAAACTATCCACAGGGGAGCTTCCAGCTCATCTTATAATAATACTGTAGAGAACAACCAAAAGCAGTGCTGATTAAACAGCCAAACTGCCTTTTTCACTATCAAGTTGTTGTTGGTTTTTTTTCTTAACTCTAAGTGTCCATGTAGTTCCAATGACTTCAAACAGCACAAGTGCTTTTGGGATTTTATAGATGTGAATCCACCTACTTCTGCTGTCTAGACTGCCAAACTTCAAGAACTAAACAGTACCAAAAGCAAAGCACTCTTCAAATTACAAGACTAATTATAACAAGACCAGGCAGTAGTCAGGTCTGTATAATGGGAGTAGGACAACTGCATACAAGAACAATGGAAGATTTTAAAGCTATGAACCTAGTAATTAACAAAACTTCAGCTTTTGCTTCAGCCTCCCAATTTCAGGCAAGTGTTTACCTACACGTCCTCTGCAGGGTGTTCCACCCAAGGCAAGAACTAATGCAATAAACAAGACTCTAAAGCTGAAGTCTGATCATTTGGGCATCCTCATGTTCTTAAACCTCAACCAACAGGTGTTTAAAAGATTACCAGAAGCCATGTGTAGTGACAATCCTGACTCAGACCAGACTGCACATTCCAATAACCAGCCACAGCAAGGTTGGTTTTAAGCCACACCACCAGTTCCCCAACCCTGTTTAACATAAAAAACGTTTTTTTTCCCAGCTCAGAAGAAGAGTAACAAAGCAGCAGCTGGGGCAAAAAGGTAGTATTGTAAATTTTATCGTAAGTTTATTTCAGGTTGCTTTATTCATAAAACTACAGCTCAAAAAGACCTATACTGACAGGATGAGCTTCTTCATCTATGGGTGTGCAGGAACAACAGTGTGCTACACACTGCTTTTTGGGTGAGTACAACCACAGCATGGTTTGGCTTGGATGGGAACTTATAGAACATGTAGTTCCAATCCCCCTCCATGGGCAGGGACACCTCCCACCACACCAGGTTGCTCAAAGCCCCATCCAACCTGTCCTTGATCACTTCCAGGGATGAGGCACCCACAGCTTCTCTGGGCATCCTATGCCAGTGTCTCATGATCCTTTTAAAAACAATTTTTTCCTTCTAACTGTAGATCTATCCTCTTTCAGTTTAGTTTAAACCCATTACCAAGTACCCCAGTCCTTTACAGATTCATCCAGAAACGCCAAGAGTCTTGCAGTAGAACAGTGATGATGTGTCTGCTACCTCTGCTCTGACAGCTGGGAACACCAGAGAAGAGGGGGACACACAACCCTAGTGCTGGGAGGATAGATCCACTGCTAAAAAGTCCATTTATCTCAGTCTACCTGGGTTCTCAACACAAGCAGAACATCAATGAAACTGCTATAATCTGCTCTACCCAACACAGATATGAACCCTGTGCAACAAGACCTAAAAGAAATCTTTAAAAACTTCAGAACAGAGGCCGTGGCAAACCGGACCAAGCTTGTTTCAGAATAACCCATCCCAGGAACAGCCCTTCCCTGCACGTGCCCCGAACCACCTCAAAGCTTCACATCCGATCTAACAACTGCAGAGTGGACAAACACAGCGGGAGCTGGTTCTAGAGACTGTGAAAGAGACCCGTAGGTTTAGTAAGAAGTGCTGCAGAGGTTCCAGCCATTCAGCCTGAAGCACTGGCAGTGAAACCGGCGCGGCTCACGCCACTCCAGCTCCTCTCCCTTCCCTTAACGGCTCCGGGTCGGGTCATTACCAGGCACATCCCGACCACTCGGCCACACACCTGCACTTTAACCTCGCCGACCGGCTCCCGGGCCCTCAGCGCCTCACGGACCTCTGCCGCGGCCCGGCCCGCTCCCGCACACTTCCCCGCCCCACGTGACCGCGCCATCCAATGACCGCCAGGGATTGCTCCAGCGAGCCAATCGGAAAGGAGGAGGGCGGTGACGCAAGGGGTTGCCTGGTCCACCGCCTCAGCGCAAGGGCTTCTGGGAAATGTAGTTCATGGCGGGCGGGCTGGTCTCCATCTTGTCCCTTCGCTGGGCGCTTCACTCGCTGCGCCCAGAGCAGCGTCCAGATATTAGTGTTAATAAAGCGTGCTGGGCATCCAGAGTGCCCGGCAAACAAACACACACCGGGTCTGTCTGGTGTCGAAAATGACACTCATGCCTCTGCTCTCAGCTGCTGTGTGTGTTTGGGGCTCTCTGTGCTGATGGACTCGGTGACCTCAGAGGTCCCTTCCAGCCGTGACGGCGCTGAGATTCCGTGTGTTTTATCACAATATCACCTAATGGCTGGTTTTGTTTCTCGCTTTCATTTCAAATCACAGCGTCTGCTCATTAAAACACGCCTGCCGGGGGGTTTCAGAGGGAGGCAGGTACCTCAGGCCCTACAGGTGTGGTTTTCATGTCGTAATGAGCTGAGTTCACCTGAAGAGCACAGAATAATGACTTTCCCTGGCATCATTCCAGATTTCAGCTGCAACGTTCTGCTCTGGGTACATAAATCCTGCCAGCACGAGACTCCAGCCCTAAAACTGAGCAGCTGCCCGTTCGTTCCTAGCAATAGCGGTCCTGGTGGCAAAACAGAACCCTGGGCTGAAGAAGGCATGAGAAACGTTGCTCTTTGGTTCGTTCCTTTTTACTGTTCTGTTATTTTTGCAGCACCTGTGGCGAGAGGAGGGATGACTGTGTTGGGGGGCAGGAGCTGGGGGACAGGTCAGGATGGAGCCTCTGTGGAAGGAGGCAATGCCAGGTGGGATCTCAGCCAGACCAGGTCCCTGAGATTCCAGGCACCATCTGCTGCTCTCCTGACATCCTCTCTGGTGGGCTAAGCTCCGTGGTGGCAGCCCGTGCTTTTCCTAACGAGGGATGCAGGGCTTGGTTCTGCTCTTCAAGCCCTGCTGGGGAACAAGGGCCTTCTCCTGTCCCTTTTTCAGCCTCGTGATCCTCTGTCTTTTCCAGCTTCTCTGAGTGGCGAGTGAGAAGCAGCTGTCAAGAAGGCCAGTGTCTCCAGCCCTGCTTGAGGATGAATAATTGGACATGAGCTGACAACGTGCACTCGTAGCCCAGAAAACAAATCCTGGGCTGCCTCAGAAGAAGTGTGACCAGCAGGCTGAGGGAGGGGATTCTGCCCCTCTACCCCGTGCTCATGAGACCCCTCTGCATTGCTGGGTCCAGCTCTGGGGCCATCAGCACAGGAAAAACATGGACCTGTTGGGGTCCAGAGGAGGCCACAGAAATGATCAGAGCAATGGAGCATATCTGCTGTGAGGACAGGCTGAGAGAGTTGGGGTTGTTCTCTGAAGAAGAGAAGGCTCCAGAGAGACTTTAATTGTGGCCTTTCTGTACTTAAAGGAGGCTTCTAAGAAAGACAGAGAGAGGTGTTTTAGCAAGGCCTGTAGTGACAGGGTTAAGGGACAATGGCTTTAAACTAAAAGAGGGAAAAAAAGGGAAAAGAGGGTAGATTGAGACTGGACATGTGAAGACATTTTTTTACGGTGCGGGTGGTGAGATACTGGAACAAGTCTCCCAGAGAAGTTTTGGGAGCCCCATCCCTGGAAGTGTTCAAGGTCAAGTTGGAACAGGGCACTAAGCAGCCTAGATCAGTAAAAGATGTCCCTGTTCATTGCTAGGTGATCTTTAAAGGTCCCTTTCAACCTAAACTATTCAGTGATTCTACAGGAAAGGGATAAAGTCACTGCCACTTTCTTATGCAGCCTGGAATTTGCTTCTCTGTTCTGCTGTTTGCCTGGTCCATGCACATCCATCTTCTCTGCAGTCACACTACAGGAAAGCAGCAGCTTAACATATCTGCTGGGCTTGTGGTCAGAGGTTGTCTCATTCCTGTGCATCAATCTTTGGAGTATGGTGGGTGAAAAAAGAGACAGCAGCAGTGTGATGTCCCAGGGCCAGGAGGTGCTGGGAAGCAGCTTTGGCAGTGTCATTGCTTGGAGAGAGACAAATCCCTGTGTCACTGCAAAGTCTCAGGTAAGAAATATATTGCTGACCAGAGAGCTCATTTAAAAGAAACAACTTTGGCTTAGGGGAAAGAGAAGAGGAAAGCTTTGTAGATGCCTGTTTTTGACTTTCCCCCATGGTGCTTTTTCATCTGTGCATGAAAAGCTTCTTTTCCTCCAAGTTCTCATGCTGCTTGTCAGGGCCTTCCTTCACCTCTGCCTTTGTTCCTGGCAAGCTGATGTCCCTGCCTGTGGCTCGTTGCCTAGACCTGAGGTCCCAGCTGCCTTGAGAGGCCATCCTAAGGAATTAGAGCTGCAGAGCAGGGGCACAGGCATAACCAAGTAGATGAGAAAGCATTCAGAGATAAGACAGGAGACCACAGGGAAAGCCCTGCTGGGGAACAAGGGCCTTCTCCTGTCCCTTTTTCAGCCTCGTGATCCTCTGTCTTTTCCAGCTTCTCTGAGTGGCGAGTGAGAAGCAGCTGTCAAGAAGGCCAGTGTCTCCAGCCCTGCTTGAGGATGAATAATTGGACATGAGCTGACAACGTGCACTCGTAGCCCAGAAAACAAATCCTGGGCTGCCTCAGAAGAAGTGTGACCAGCAGGCTGAGGGAGGGGATTCTGCCCCTCTACCCCGTGCTCATGAGACCCCTCTGCATTGCTGGGTCCAGCTCTGGGGCCATCAGCACAGGAAAAACATGGACCTGTTGGGGTCCAGAGGAGGCCACAGAAATGATCAGAGCAATGGAGCATATCTGCTGTGAGGACAGGCTGAGAGAGTTGGGGTTGTTCTCTGAAGAAGAGAAGGCTCCAGAGAGACTTTATTGTGGCCTTTCTGTACTTAAAGGAGGCTTCTAAGAAAGACAGAGAGAGGTGTTTTAGCAAGGCCTGTAGTGACAGGGTTAAGGGACAATGGCTTTAAACTAAAAGAGGGAAAAAAAGGGAAAAGAGGGTAGATTGAGACTGGACATGTGAAGACATTTTTTTACGGTGCGGGTGGTGAGATACTGGAACAAGTCTCCCAGAGAAGTTTTGGGAGCCCCATCCCTGGAAGTGTTCAAGGTCAAGTTGGAACAGGGCACTAAGCAGCCTAGATCAGTAAAAGATGTCCCTGTTCATTGCTAGGTGATCTTTAAAGGTCCCTTTCAACCTAAACTATTCAGTGATTCTACAGGAAAGGGATAAAGTCACTGCCACTTTCTTATGCAGCCTGGAATTTGCTTCTCTGTTCTGCTGTTTGCCTGGTCCATGCACATCCATCTTCTCTGCAGTCACACTACAGGAAAGCAGCAGCTTAACATATCTGCTGGGCTTGTGGTCAGAGGTTGTCTCATTCCTGTGCATCAATCTTTGGAGTATGGTGGGTGAAAAAAGAGACAGCAGCAGTGTGATGTCCCAGGGCCAGGAGGTGCTGGGAAGCAGCTTTGGCAGTGTCATTGCTTGGAGAGAGACAAATCCCTGTGTCACTGCAAAGTCTCAGGTAAGAAATATATTGCTGACCAGAGAGCTCATTTAAAAGAAACAACTTTGGCTTAGGGGAAAGAGAAGAGGAAAGCTTTGTAGATGCCTGTTTTTGACTTTCCCCCATGGTGCTTTTTCATCTGTGCATGAAAAGCTTCTTTTCCTCCAAGTTCTCATGCTGCTTGTCAGGGCCTTCCTTCACCTCTGCCTTTGTTCCTGGCAAGCTGATGTCCCTGCCTGTGGCTCGTTGCCTAGACCTGAGGTCCCAGCTGCCTTGAGAGGCCATCCTAAGGAATTAGAGCTGCAGAGCAGGGGCACAGGCATAACCAAGTAGATGAGAAAGCATTCAGAGATAAGACAGGAGACCACAGGGAGGGGTGGGTGAGAACTGGGCTAGAAGTGCATCCTCAGCCAACAAGGACAACTTGTCCAGTGTCCATCCCCCCCTTGCAGTGTTGCTGCAAGAAATCGTGCAGGTCATCTCAACTCGTACAGGTTAGTGCCTCAGTGCTGGATGGAAACACAGGGACACGCATGTCTTGGTTCTCCTGAATGAGCAAAACCAGTTGTGTGTTAATGCCAATCACCATCCTCTCCTGTAAGGACCAGCATTGAGCTTTGCTGTGTGTTGGCGTCATGTTGTGACACTGTTCTGTACAGAATTACAGGGCAGGAAGGAGCTGGTATCGCTGCAGCATCAGGCAGATGTAAATTGGTAGGAAATTAGGGCTCTATCATTCAGGAAACTCCTGGCTTAATGTGAGAATTTAACAAGTGTGTAATGACTGTTCAGCACACGTTACGTGTTCTCTCTGCCTGGTCACAGATGGTGCATTTATTACTGCTCTCAGCTGTAGGTTTTTTCTCTCTTGTTCAGCCCATACTTACCAGAATATCTTTTTATCCAGTGTTATTTGACTCACAAAACCCTCTCCAGGCAGATAAACCATTAATTTAGGGGATAGTTAGGGACCAATGTCAGTGTCACCAGTCACCAGGAAAGGGGTAAGGTCATTCCCTCAGACCTGTGTACTCCAGCAGACAGTCTCTCAAGGAAACAGGGTAACACAGGAAAGCTTAGCCTTAGATTTCTAGAACTGGACTTGAACTTTTCACATCCATCTAAAGACCAAGTGGTATATAACTGGAGAAGGTGGGAATTTGGTCCATCAAGTCCACAAAAGAAAATGATGATGAAGCACTAGTACCTAATGGCTTTTCTGCCCTTGGAACTCAGGTCTACATCAGCTGCTGCTCCATACACCCTGATCTGCCCCATACTCCCTTTTGCTGAGTTCCTCTCCTGGGGCTGATGCTCCTGGGACTTTCTGATGTTGCTGTAAGAGCCTTTCCAGGCTTCTGGACTACAGATGGTGTCTATGTGCTGGCAGATAGTCTCTAGAATTTTTTTCAAGATGGCAGGAGGACAGACAGGGGTTACTGTGTTCCCAGAGCTCTCTACAAACATCAGT